ACACACACACACACACACACACTGCCCTTTCTGCTCAGGAGTAATTTATTGGTAAGTATTCCTCTGTCTCTTCTCTCCCTTTCTCCCAGTGGCCCTGAGATCATCAATCTCTTTTTGCACTCTTCTTATGTCAGCACTATACCTCCCCTTCTTACTTTCTTTTTTTTTTCCTTTCTTCAAGCTTCTTCTTCTTCTTCCTCTTCTCGCTGTTGAGAAACTGTACATGATGCGTTTTTGTGTGAAAGACAAAGAGCGAAGAAAAACTGGAAGAGAGGGTGGACCAATTGGAGGCAAACAGAAAGGACGAGAGACAACTTAAATGTACGTCTCCTGTACCGGAGCGTTGCATGTTCTGGCTTGTGTGTGGCTACATGGATGTGTGCATGTAGTTGTCACTTCAGCCTGAGTGCTGAAGATTAATAGCTGGGGTCACTGCACTAATTAACTGGATGCTGATTAATTTCTCTTGACTATGACAAATGACCTAAAAATATTTTTTTTTCTCTCACTATTTCCAACTTTTTCTTATCTTTTTTCCCTCACATCTCTCACTTCCCCTTTCTTTTTTCCTCATCAACCAAACTCTTATCCTTCATTCACACTACCCCCCTCTTCCACTTTCCTTCATTCAGCTGCCTCAGCTGGCTCTCCGGTTTCATTCCTCTGTGACTACGTTCCCTCACTGCCTCTCTTCAACTTAATTAAGGAGAATGCCATACAGCTGTCGTTCTCTTGGCCGATAGCGTCCTTTTTTTTCCCCCACATCATATTGTTATTCATTAACACTATATGCCTGCCAATCAGGCACACAGCCCATGTTATTTCGAGGGATGGATGAGGCGGCACTTGCGATAATGACGTTTCTCTTCGTATCTCATTCTCGCAGTGGTGCGCCTGAGGATACAGCAACACCATTTTGGATGAGCCCTGTTATTCTTTCATGTTCACTGTTCCTTATTATAATGGCCTTGCCCAAAGCAGTGGTTGTGTCTCCAGTTGTCTTTAAGTGCAGGAAATGTTAGACATTGGCAGAAGGTCCGCTGCCGATGCCATAAAGGCCAGCGCTGATTGGCTGAAGACTCGTTCAAAACTTACTCACACGTCAGGTGCATCGTCGTATGTGGAGGAAAACAGCAATGAAGACCTTTTTTTTTTTTTTCTTTTTGAACAAAATTGACTCTGCATTATCTCAGTCTGGCTTCCGCTGCCACTAGCCTCCAACCTTTTTATACTTTCATTCTCACTCTATGTTTTTTGAAAGTCTCACTTCATTAAATGAAGGTCTGTGTTTTTCATTCCAATTATCCTGACGGCTCATTACAACAGTCGAGGAGACACAGACTAATCCCTGGTCACCTCATATTCCTCTCCATCTCACTATGTATCCATCCTTTCATCCTTCCGTCACTCCATTTTTGCTTCCTGTGGTTCTGTCTGTAGAATTATCAGTCTCTCTGCCCGTCCTCCTGTTCAGTTCCTGTTCTGTTTATGCGAAAATATGCACACACATACACTCATGTAGGTGCGTTAAATGCATGAAAACTAACAATTCTCACCTCCCTCTCCACCTCTCTCTCTCTTTCTTTCTCTATCTCTGACACTCTCCTATGCAGTTCAGTTCTAATGGGCTTCATTGGCTTGACGATTCATCTGAGTGCTGCAACTCTGTTCAATTACATAAGGGAGCCCTTTGGGCTTTCAACAGACAATCAACAATGTTCTCCTCGCGGTCACATGCACTCACATTTACATGCACCTTTGCGTATTCATATGAAAGAAAGAAAGAAAAAATCCAATTTATACTTACAATGGCGGCACAGCGAAGAAACAACTAACAGAGGCCAGATTTTTTTTGGCAGATATTGAAGTATGTGCCCTGCGATTCATTCAAAACAATCTCTCACATTTGAAATATTAGACTTTCTGAAAGTTGCACAAAGTTAATTTCGCTGTAAATCTGTGAACACATCTGCATGCACGTCAACAATAAAAGTCTGACTCTTTCTAATCATAAACTTGCTTCAAACATGAAGCTTCAACGCATCATATGTTATATCATGGCCCAGAGAGTTCCCCACTTCTCATTCTCTGTTCTCCTTCACTGACATTAAGCCTGTCTCTTACTGTATAGTGACAGCACCTAAAGTACCTGCAACAAATTGGCAGCTACTTTTCCCTGAGTTTGGTCCCAGTGTACAGACCCTGATGGAAGAAAACTCTCACAGTGGGAAGGTTGACACGAAATAGGAGGGAAAGACAACCGAGTTTATCTGCACCTGCAAAAAAAAAAAAAAAAAGGATTCTTTTCTGCTGACTCATCCCTTACAACTCACATTTTTCCAGCGCTCCTTCTCTGCCCGCACTTCCTCCCCAAGTGCACCCCGGGATTCCCTGTGGGAAAGCTGGGAGCCAACTAAACTGACATTTCGTTTATCTGACAAGCCGTGGTACTGAATGTTAACCCGCGTACGACCTCCATCGTCCTTTGTCTCTCCCTTTTCATCCCTCCATCATCCCTCTCTCTCTCTCTCCACCCCTCTCTTTCCTCCAAACTCTCCCCAACTCCTCTCTCTCCCTTTTTACGCTCGTTTCTCTCTGCGTCTCGCAAAAGCCGTCTCAGAGTAAAGAGACTGAACCTTGAATAGGGGGCAAACTGGTGGCAAGGTGAAAAACAGTGCCGGTGTTTGAGCAGTGGGGAGAGGAAGAGGAAGTAGACAGAAGGTGCAAAAGAGGTGAGAACAGAGGGCAGAGCAACAGAGAGAAAGAGGATATTGAGGAAAGGCATTCGGAGACGTAAAATAAAACGAGGGGCGATGCGGTGGAGAGAATAACAGAGGAGAGTTGTAAACAAAAGACAGATGAGAAGTTTGAAATAATTTTTGCTCGAAACCGACGGTGACCTCACAGAGAGCGACGAAGAAAGAGGGACAAGAGGAGAATATGAATGCATGTTTTTCATCGTGGTCCTTAGGAATAAATGAAGATCTTTACAAAGTGTGATATTTGAGAGAAAGAAAATATCAACTATAAGAACGTGGGTGCTGGAATGAAATTGAAAGCACACTCTGGGTAAGTGTTGGAGTTCATGAGTCACCTTCTTTTACAGCAGATTTATTTTTCAATATTGACTGATAAACTTCATTTAAATTTCAGAGAAGAGCACTAACGCCGCATTAAATCATCCGCGGTGGTTCATTTGCCGTAGCAAGAGCTGCACGGCACACGCAGCATTTTATAGTTATGTACATTTATATCAATGGGAATATTAGAAGTGCAAGAGGGGTTCATGTGACATTTCCTGAGAAAGAATTAACATCACGTTAGCCAAGTTATTAGTCGTGACATTCAGAGGCAAATCAAGAGTGCCTTTCAGATTAATGCGATGGCTGCATCGACAACTCTGAGCTCTTTGAGATAAGGTTTAAAACAACAGTGGGCGAGTACATGTTTTTCTGAAGTGCTGAAAACCACCAGTGATACAGGGCTACAGCGAGAGGATTTAAGAAACTGATTGCTGGAAATCTGTAGCGCAGCACAGAGGAGCTGGAGCTAGGCTTATATTGGTTATGTGGATTTTTGGTCTTTTATGGATTTTGGTCAAGGCAACATTCCTCACTTTTTTTTTGACAATATCGAGGTGCTACATCAAATCAATGACCACCACAAAGCAATGACGTGGAATGTGGAGGCTAAAAAACTGAAACGAAATGCACAAGGAAACACGAATGAAAATAAAAATGGTGAAAGCTGAGGAGTAGTGAAGAAGAGAGAACATTTTTCTACAGAGGTGGCAACACACTTCAAAGCTCGACATGCATAACCTTCTAGGAGAGAGAGAGAAACACAGAGGAAGACAAGAAGAGAGAGAGAGAGAGAGAGAGAGAGAGAGAGTGGGTAGTGGGTGGGGATGTCACCTTTCATCTTGCCACTGCTGCCACCCCTTGATGCCTGTGGAAAGCTGCCATTACGGGTGTCATTTGATGCTCGTACTAGAGTGTGTGCAAGCGTGTCCGTGTTTGCGCGAGAGTAAGAAGTGTTAGCGTGATAGATCGACAGATGAGGGGGCGCCAAACTAAAAGCAGCGTGAAAAAAAAAAATGTTACACGAGATATCAAGTCTCTTCCCTTCATTCTTTCACTCCGCTTCTGATCTCCAAATCGGGTTCTGGGATGCAATGATAGGAGCTGCCAGCAGGCGGGGTGTAGATCAAAAGGGCAAACCTGCTGAGTGACGGCGGTGTGGCTGCAATTAGGCCAAACCACATATACGATGGATGTGAATCCGCAGAAGCCTTTAATGATAAGCTTGCTTTGCAATTTAGCCATACTTGCTGTCCCATTAAAATCTCACAAATCCCGTTGTGTCCTTTTTTTTTTTCGACGGCGAGTTTAGTCAGTTGTTTCATGTGTGGGTTCCACAACATTAAATCAAAACCCTGTGTTCAAAATGTTCAGCAAACTCAGAGAGAAAGTTGGCAAATTTGTCATGTTTCCCGGGAAAACAGTGATACAATAGTTCATGTGATGTTGCAAACTCCACTGTCGTCCTCTTTGAACTGTGTTGTGTAGTCTATCTGGGTCAACCTTCATTAAGAATGTAGCCACCGCCAGTGAATCTAGGTGCAACATCATGGGAAACTTGTAAAAACCAGACAAGAAAAGCCCCCTAACCCGCATCCTCCTCCCCTCTGATACCTCTGCTCGAGCAACAAGCAAAGTTTATTCACCTGAATTTTAAATGCAACAGATGTTCAGCTGTTTTTTTTTTTTAATTTTCCAAATGCTGTGATGTAAAATTCTGCATTGAATTAATACTTTGCACCGTGTTGTCTTCGCCTCCTGCGCGTCACCTCGTACTGTGAAGTTCATTTAGCTGTCAAAACATCTTTTCTTTTTTTAAAATTGCACTTGTAGATTTACCTTATTCTGAATTCTTTGAGGACAGGATTGGGTCACAGCAGAGATAATAAACCGGTTCTTTACAACAGAAAGCCTGAATAATAATTCTGGTGACTAGTATCTGAGCGTGGTAGTCGACTCTCGTTGTGGAATCAATACCACTGTTCAGTCAATTGCACAAGAGGCTTAGCGAAGGTTTCCTGCTGTGTCTGTATCAGGAAAACAAATAAAGCTGAAAGAGGGATGAGACAAGCATCAAGATTTAATGGGTCTGTTGCCCGGTGCCAGAATAGCCAGATTCCAAAGACACTGGCGAGATAAAAGAATCAATAAAATTTAAAAGACTTCTCAAAAAAATAAAAAATAAAATAAAAAATCCTCACAACACAACATCAAGACATGTAACAAACAAAGGAGCCATTGAACATAAAACTATTCAGAACAGTTAAAAACCGCCTCAGATACTAAGAATGGGAATGAAAACAATAGAGTGCAAGAATCAATGGAACAAACTGTTCATGCATTTGCAGAAATTCTATGAAAGCTTTGCTGCAGGTTAACTCTCAGTGAAGGTTACTCACCGTACACCAACAGGGTGTAATGATCGGCAGCACGTCCAAAGTTGTTCTGGGCCTGGCACAAGTACGTCCCGTTGTGTGATTGGCTGAGACGAGAGATCTGAAGAGTGGGCCCAGAGATCTCTGCCCTCTCAGGTAAGGTGTCATTAATCTTCGACCACTGAATGTTTCTGGGCCTGGGAGGAAGGACAGAGTAAGAGTTTTGATTGTGCTGAAATGATGGATCAATTGACTGATCAGTTGGTTAAAAACATAATTTTTCAGAAAATCAGTAAATTTCTGACAATCAATTAACTGCATTTTACTAGTCAATTGATCATCAAATAATCAAAAGAGTCATTGATCCAAAAAAAACCTTTAATGTATGGCATTTACATACGAGGTGTGTCAGGAAAGTTTCAGGACTGGTGTCACAAAAGATTAATTTCAAATCCAAACTGCAAACTACAAGTTTTCCCCTTCTAAGTAATCCTCCTGGAGTCTAACACACTTCCCCAGCCTTCTCTGCCACGTCGCCATGTACTCCTGGAAGGATTCTTCCAGGATCCTCTTCAGCTCCGTCATCACAGCCATCTTGATGTCATCCACGTCTTCTAAACGGGTCCCCTTGATGACCCCCTTGAGTTTGGGGAAGAGTAAAAAATCCCACAGAGCCAGGTGGGGTGAGTAGGGAGGTTGATGTTCTCCTCAGCCAGGAACTGTCGGATGCTCAGGGCATTGTGAGCAGGCGTGTTGTCATGGTGAAGCAGCCACGACTTGTCCTGCCACAACTCTCATCTCTTCTGAATGAAGCAAACGTTGCAGGATCTCTTTGTCGACGTGCTGGTTGATCGTCTGAAGAGGAAAACTCGTAGTTTGGGTTTCAAATATATCTCCTGTGACACCAGTCCTGGGACTTTTCTGACACACCTTGTATAGCTAGATTGTAGATTTTAGTGCATTAATGTACCTACAACCACCAGTGTTGGACACTAATGCATTAATGCAGTGCAAGGGATCACAATTTGAGATTTAATAATTACATTACAGCTACTAAATCCAGTAGGTTCCCAGTTCCGGGTCGCTGCTCTTGTGGCTGACCTATTAGGTCATAGAGCAGTTTCTTAATTGCCCCCTGGGGACAAATAAAAGTTTTCTGATTATGAATCTGAATGCTCCATTACTTTGACAAACTGGAGGTTCATTTGTTTGCTGTGCTTCTGGGAGTTTGGTTTCATATTAGGTTGGTTTCTGTGCACTCTGTGTAAACTCACGGCTGACATGCCAGCTCGCTTCATATGAGAGAAAAATCTTCCAAATCCTTGTTCAAATCTGGTTTGTAACAAGAAGTATGAATCCCTCAGCTTCCCTTTGAAAACTAAAGAACACGAGGACCTCGTACAGTCACCTGGATTAGCTGCTGATGGTCGATAAATGGCTCTAAAATGTAGCCGGCTGTTTGTTTAAACGACATGACTTGTTTCCTGTTTCTATACATGTCAAACTGGTGCTCAGGATGTGACAGAACACATAATGTGATGAGTAATGTAACTTAATACTTGATCATTAATTAGTGCGGTGATGTAATTAGGAATTTGATTGAATAATCAAAACATACGTAATGAGTAATTGATTTGATTTTTCAGTGAAGTTGCCAAACACTGACAACTACCTGTCAAAAAAAAATGACACCATCAGATGAGTCATAGTCTTGAACATATTTCATAAAACGCAAACAGCTAAATGAAATTAAATATCCCTTTAATGAAACGTAGAAGTGGATTGACGCTGTGGGTGCTATAAAAAGAGAGGTGACAGAGGAGGGGGGTCAAGAAGCCCGCTGGGTGAGGTTGACGTAAGATGAGAGAATAAGAGGGGCTTGGAATAGGAACCGACGGCAGCAGAGGGCTGCATCCAGACAAATAATGAGGAGATGGATGGTCAAAGGCCGGCAATGGTGTGAAAGAGTTGGCAGGAGGGAGAGAAGGGCAGATTAGAGAGAAATAGGGTGTCAGATGTGCAGAGTGAAAAAAAAAAAAAAGAAAAACTGGAAGAAGGACAAGTATAGAAGGAATGTGTAACTACATGTGGATGGACGACAGAGAGAAGACGAGATGTTTGGGTCGGAAAAAGGGGAAAGAAGCAGGCAAGCAAAAATGAATTGGTGGCGAAAGGCAGAGCAGACAGGAGGTACGAGAATTACAGAGACACCCTGGCGAACAAATTTGTGTGTGTGTGTGTGTGTCGAGGCTCATGCCACCCTGGCCAGATTACAATCCTGACTCATCTGAGTTCTAATCCCTCAGGAAGTCTAATTAAACCTCTTTCTTGTTTAGTCGCACACAAGCATACACTCTTTCAGTCCTCCCACACACACACACACGCTAAAGATACACAAACCAAATCTCCCCCCGTTCCCCTCTCGCCAACACACACACACACACACACACACACACACAAGCTCGCACTCCCACGCGCAGCATCGCCTTGTAAAGCCAACGCACAGATAAGCAGACAATTGAGTAAAATTACAAGACATCGCCTCCATCTCCCCCTATTAATAACAGACAGACGAAGAGTGTACCCCTTCACCAAAAGGAAGTGGCATATAATTGGGCATTAATGCTTAACAGGCAGTTAACAGGGCCAGGGAGCAATCGTGAGGGTGACAAGGGTACTATAATGTGTGTGTGAGTGTGTCTGTCTGTGTGTGTGCAGTCCAGCGTGAGATGAGGGTCAGAGTCCAGAGCTGCCTGCAGTTCCATCCCTCACTGTCACACACACACACACACACACACACACATGCGCGAACACACACACACACACACACATAGTGTCCCCAACCAGCCGTTACAAAGCTTTAGTGGGGCTATAGCCAATACGCTTCTCAGCCAGTCCTCACTGTGGGATTTCACTAAAGTCATCACACACGCACAAACACACATGCACACACTTTGGCTGCATGAAGCTTTACTCGGGAGCTTTAGTGGACCTGATGCACACAGACAGACGGACCATCTAGGGGAGGATTTAAGAGCTTAGGACCCAATACCCTTCTGGAAAGTGCAAAAAAGGGCTGCGAACAACAACAACAACAACAACAAAAAAAAAGGGGGCATTGTTTCAAAGTTGGCTCTTAAAGTTGCTGATTAGGTTCATTAGCTCTCACGCAAAGAGTAGTAGGCTATAGAATGTCCACGTTTACTCAGAGTTTTCAGGCATCCTGCTGGTGACCTCTTAGCCACGGTCTTAAGCCCTTTTCTCTTTGACCTTTATGCAATAAAGTATGGATCAGGTGGTTTTTTTCGTCCAGCTTTCAAGCAATAAATGTCAGGTGAGACCAAAGATGCCACTTTTGATCAAACATAGAAGCACGGTGCTTCTTTGGCATATGCTCCCATCATAAAAAAGAAACCGGTGACAATATTGTAAATATACATAGAATACAACTCTTAGTCTGTGTTTTTATTCATGACATTATCTGAATGATTTGTGGAGAACAGCATGTGGCTGTACTTTATGGTAATTGTCCACTATTTTCCAAGAAAAGGTAAGTACTGATAAGTGGTTACTGTTCAATTCATATGATAATTCTCAGAAAGAACCGAAAACTCTCAAGAGTCATTACGGCACAATATAAAGAAGTTGGTGTAGGTTCGAAGTATTTGGTAATCACTCGATGTTTTTGACAACGAACGGTGAAAATCGTGGCAGAGTAGAAAGGTGGCAACTTAGGGATGGGGAGAAACGGATGTGTTAGACAAACACAGTAGGATCCCTATTTAAAGCTATCAGGGAAAAAAGCTTTCACCCATTTTCTTGCTTCTTTGAAATCCGTATTAAGGTTTGATAAAGCACACATGTTCTCCTTTCAGCGATGCCCTGCTTTACTCTCACACGCTGCGTAGCCGTCCTGAAAAACCTGCTTTGTACGGTAAGAATCTCCACTAGAGCATGTAGAGGTTAGTCAAGGATCTTTTCATAATAACTGTTAAGTAGGAGACTTTTTAATGGACGGTAATTCTTTGGAAAATAAACTGTAGTATCTTCTTTAGTAAAAGTGTCTATGCGGTATTCACAGATCACCAACTGTACATCCAATTCATCTTTATCACTCATATATCAAATTTCATGCATAAAGCCGGGTGATAACACACTCTAATAACTCAATGCTGATAAAAAAAATTCTATGTTGGATTAGAGTAAAAGAAAAACAAAAGTTAACAAGAAAAGCACACAGGCGCTGATTTATGCTTGTACTTGACTCCATCAGCTAAACTGGTAAACTACCGCGGTGACAGTAGTCAAAAAAAAAAGTATTTAAAACATAAAATAAAACTCTTTTACAGCCACTCTAGGTTGTGGTGGTGAATTCCAGCTTATTCTACACTCAGGTGGTTTGGAAAATATGCTGTGAGTAAATATATAAACCTTAATTGTCCAGCCAAAAAAATAAAAGTAGTCTTCTGCTGACAGATTGCTAAATTGCGAAAGTTGAGCCCTGTTCGTCTGTAGCTGTCAGTGCAGCTGCAGCTACCTGTTGTTGGGTCATAGTGAAATTAATTTGTCCTTCTCATAGCAAAACAATTCCCCAAAACTGTTGCAATGTAACAGTTATCCCAAGGCATCATTTGGTGATTTTTATTTTTTAAAGGTTGATGCTGAACCTGGCAACCCGTACATGTCCTCGTCACTCAGTTAAAAGCTTTCTGTGTATCCTGAGTTTGATTTGTCAAAACTCGCTGCAGGTTTTCATGTATGCTTTATTGAGACAAACCTTTCATAATTTCAGTTTGTTTTGACAGAAAACTCACCACAGAGTGACAGAAAATGCCCAGCGAGTTTCACAGGTAGCTCTGTGTGCCAACTAACTGTTTTATGTCTTAACCTTTTCATCAGCGACTAACGATTGTGTCCAATCAAACCATCTTCTCATGCGTAAAGCAGCCGATGTACAGACTTACAGAGGGTTCCCAGTGACGGAGCAGGTGAGGCTGAGCGAGTCGCCCTCTCTCAAAATGCCAGAAGGAGGAACAATTCGCACTGTGGGCGCAACTGTAAAGAAAGAGAAAATGGGGGTTGGTGGGGTTGTTACATGAGTATGCATGGGTCTTTAACATCTGTTTCCAAGGCAACCAGCCGACGATCCTATGGTTGAGACACCTGTTACCATAAGCAGCCCACCGCTCCTGCAGCTGCTGTACTGCAGTTCAGTAACAGAGCGATGGGAAGCCAAATCCACACTGACGCTTGGTCATTATTGCCAGTTCTCTGGCTGAAGGAACCCCAAGTGCACAGACTAACAAACTGTTGAATATTAATCATTCTGATCTATCAACAACATTAATATACAAGTGGCAAATTATTTGCACTCAAAGACTGATGCAAGAGTATGCGCTGAATATGAATGATACCACCAACTGTAAATATTTATGTATGCCTGTGGAATGTTTGACTATGCAAAACATTGATATACTGTGGGATAAGAATCATTGTGAACTGTCACGAATGCTAATATGAGCAGGGAACAAATGCAGTAATTGGAGATTGCTAATTTGTTAAATAGCATCACAGTAATACTGGAGGAGAAACAATTTGTACTTTCAGCATTCATTCATTCTTATGGAACATACTATAGTAGGCATGTGTTGTAAATTGTGGATCCAAGGAAAAACATCAACCTCATCGTGGAAGCTAGCATGCAACGGATAAATCAACATACTAAACTTAAAAAAGAACCTGTCACAACTAAGAGGAGCAAACCTGACATGTTTGATAGAAGCAAACAAAATTCATCGATATAAAATTATTAATTTCAGACTTATTTAAAAGGCTTACAAATTACATCCAGCTGACATTTTCTCCATTAATCCTACTGAAAGATTCGTAAAAACACTGAGAATTCGTCATAAAATGAAGAAGCAGTTTTATCTGAACCCGTTGCTCTTAGTGAATATTAACCTTTAGTCAAGGATAAATAAATTTAAAGCCCTTCCAATATGTTAACTGCTTTTGCTTCCTCAAAATGGACGTTAGCTTTTAGTGAAAACTAACTTGTGCAAATAAGCCAGCACAGATCAATCAGTTCAGAAACAGTGCTGGGATCACTGCACATACTAATATGACCCAGGTTCTTTTCAGCTTAAACCACAGGCCAGGATCTTAACCTGGCCACGGGCCTATTTCTGCCGGCTCGCGGCATGACTAGATTTGTATGTATTAGGTTTTAATGAGAGCAGAGCTCATACAGGGCATCGCTGAATATCACTCCGTTAAAATCCTGGACTGTGTGTAAATGAGCTTCATTCTAAAATGAGATATCCACCATTTTAAAAATGAGGCTGCTACCCTGACAAAAAATTATTGCTGGCATTAAAGTAAAACACCGTAATGAATAGCAGTGGAGTAGCAACTTAAGTGACAGCAATCCAGATGAAATAATGTGTGTTTTTGAAATATTTGGCAGTGAACATCACGGTACGTCATTTGTTTGAAAGATGGATCGAAAGCGTTTTGGCATAAAAGTGCACGCTCACGCGCGCGCTCGCACACATTTGAATTTGAAAAGACACCTACAATACACATCCAGGCGATAATGTCGAATCCTTTTCTGCCCACTCAGTGCGGGGTGGAACGCCTCGCAACTCAGCGCCGCCCCGTTGTCTTTCCTTTCAACCGGGATGCGGATGGTGCTGGACACGCTGAACGTCTTCCCGTTGTCCTGCTGGGAGACGACACCTAGAGAGAAAAACAGAAAGAATGCAGGTAAAATAGGCAAGAAAGAAGTCAAAACATTTGTCCCTGCTTAGACGTCACACCTACAGTGGGAGATGGGAGGGAAAAAAAACAGGAACTAATGCAAGATGGAAGAGAAGAAGAGATTTTTAGATGAGAACACGGAGGGGAATAGAAGAAATTAGCCGCAGAAAGAAGTTTAGTGACTGATGAATGAGCTTTTTTAGAGGCAGGTAACTGTAGAGAAAAGAGGATGAGTGGTGGGGGACAAATAACAGAGAGGAAAAGAGAGAAAGGAGGAAGCAATTTGCATCTATATTTCATGGCAATTATGAGCAGCAGCACAGTTTGTTTTCAGATAGGAAATCAACTGAATGCTTTGCGAGTGAAAGAGAAAAGAGAGAGATGGAGTGGGGAGAGGAAGGATAAAAGAAGAACATGCATAACCCAATTGAGATTTTAACTGAGCCAGACGTGGAGGGGTGGAGGGAGGAGAGAGAGGGGCGTCAAAGGAACAAGGGTGAGAGGAGAGAAAAAAAAAGAGAAGGACAGATAGATGGAGAGCGAGGGCAGCAAAACAAGCATGATAGATGTGTGTGAAGGAGGGGGGACATGAAAGAGGACGATGACAGTAGCGAGGCAGATGCAAAGAGGAAGAAAGATGCAAGAAGAGAGGAGGAGGAGGAGGGACAGAAGGAAGGAGGAGGAACAGCGGGGCCGAACTAACGGGACCGGACATGGTCACGTATTTGGAGTTTGTGCTTGTTTAGGCAGAATACAATATTACTCATATCGTGCTGAGTTTTCAATTATTGTCGGGCGAGCAAATGAAAGCAGGCCTAATTGAAGCGTGAGAGAGGACAGCGGTGTGTGCAGATGAGCAGGAATAAGAGAGCCGGGCTAAGATAGTGTCTTAATTAAAGAGTGCTTCCCGTATCTGTTGGGATCTGCTTCTACCCTTTCGTGTCACAGTTCATTTAACTCAGGGCCAAAAGAGATGCGAGACTCAGGGAGCAAGGGGTTGGGAGGAAACGAGAGAGCAGAAGAGAGGAAGAAAAAAAAATAAAAGGAGGAGGAGGAGAGATGGAGGAGAGGCATCAGGAGACGAGATGAGTCACGAGAGGCAAAGGTACGGCTCCTGTCTATCTGGCCGATTCTTAAAGCCCTCTCCGACCACGCCGAGGAGCATTTGTCACCGGCGGGATTCAAAGAAAAGGGAGGAAAAGGAGATGGGATGAAAGGAAGGAGGGAGGAGCAGAGGCGAAGGACAGGGAGAGGAGAGACGGAATGACAGTGACAGGTGTGTTCTGAGGAGAGAAGAAAAGTTAAAGAGACCGGATGAAAGAAACGGCGCCAGAGTGCCAGACGAAAATAGAAAGTAAAAGAATTGATGGCTGACATGAAGTTTTAAAAAGGGCAAAGCATTGCTCACTGCATGTCCCCCCCAAAAAAACAGTTGACACCACATTATCTTGCATTATTTTGTTGCTATGTGTAAGTGATTTGAAAGCGCTGACTGTGAATTAATGAGCAACAATAACATCTGACAGCAATGTGTCCTTTTGAACAATGTTGTCTGTATTTATTCAAACTGGAAATAAAACAGAATACAGATAATAGCTATGAGTGTCAATGAAAAATGCTTTGTGTGAGTTGTTAATGAGACTTTTTGTTCTCGCTATTCAACCGGGCAAGTTTTTTTTTTTTTTTAGAGGAATTCAAATCAAAAGTACCACTCGGCACAAATGCTGATTTTAAAGGCAGAAAAAAAAAAAGATTTCTTGGGGGTTAAATAGACCTAAGGCTACGGAAAGAGAGGTCTCAGATGTATTATTGAGTGAAGTGCCCCTTTAACTGAGAGGCGCCGTGAGAGACAGCGAGATGGAAAGAAGTATAGATCAAGGTAACGGGCTGATAGATGGCTCATAGATTTATTAGCAGCGAAGAAGAAGGGAGAGTCGGAAGATGGTGAATTCAAAACTGGCGAGTCTGGAGAAGAGGTGGAGTGAGACAAGCAGAAAATCTGGAGTGAGTGTCGCACTTCATGTTTCAAGTGCGCTTGTCAGATTATTTTTGCGAAAAAAGTACATGTGAAATAAAATGTTCATTAAAGAGGCTAGCAAGAGTAAAAAAAAACATCTATTCTGATAGGCAAAGAGTTTCAGTAATGGATATACAAGGAGATAGAAGTGGTTCATATGTTCTTCTATGAACTTTAAACCTTTACCTAAAGGTATGGAAACAAAAAACACAACTCAGAAGGTGTGATTGATCAGTAGGTGTCACTGATACATATTGGAAAGAACAATGGATCAAAAATAAAGGAAACCAGACACAGAGGAGAGATTTTGACAGCTCTAAAGTCCAAATCCTCATTTCTCCTCCCATTAACTATCCATCTATCTTAACCCTGCTCCCATCAAATGATCCATCTGCCAGTCCCCCTGTCAACTCATCAATCACCCATCCATTTGTTCTCCTTTTACTCAGCACTCAACCTTTGATATCATCCCTACCATTCCACCTCACCTGCCTTACGATATCACACATTAACTTTCTCATTTATCTGTCATAATCATCCAACCCATCCATCTGTCAGCTAACGTCCCGGTTACCTGGTATCTCCCGGCCGTTACGCATCCAGCGCAGGGTGGCGGCCGGCTTGCTCCGCGGCGACACGCAGGTGAGCTCCACCTCGCCGCCCTCCACGGCCTCCTGCTTCACCTCCACCGTCGGCGTCTCCGGGGGCACCGAGACGGAGAGCGTTGCCACCTGGTGGTGCGTGGCGTCCGTGTAGAGCTGGCAGAAGTAGCCGCCCTCGTCATAAACGCTGACGTTGGTCAGTGTGATGCGCACCAGCCGTGGTGTGAAGAGCACCATCTGGAAACGGTCGTCCTTCAGAGCTGCGGTTGGGAGAAAACAAAGGAAGGAGAGTAGAGAGGTGAGGGGGGGATGGATGGATGGTTGGGCAGGAGGGAAACATGCACAGACAGGTATTGTTGAGGAGGAGTTGGGAAAGAAAGGAAGAGTGATGAAAATGACAAAGAAGGTGGGGTGTAAGTGACATGAACAGGGAAGAGGGGTGGCGAGCACAATAGTCACTGTCATAGAAAAAGTCTCTGTAATGTGAAATGTTACATTTACATAAATACTAATCCCCCGTATTAATATAAAAGAGAGTAAAGGTACAAAGAAAAGAGAAAACAACACCAACAAAAATAAAATCCCTTTCCTCTGGGTCAGTGTAATTGATTTTTTTTTTTCTTCAGATTTTTCAGAAAGAGAGACACACAGCATCAAGAATGGTTTTCGTCATGGTGTTGTGTTTACTCGACACACACACACACACACACACGCACACACACGAGCTAAGAGAGTCAAAGGCTGCCATATTCCGGGGAACATGTTCTAATTCACTTTACTGGCAGGCTTTTACTTGCATTATTTTGAATTTGCGTTTTGATGAGAAGCATCTAAAGCAGCTGGTTTGTAGCTTAGTCACAAACTCCCTTATTCGATTTTCCACAAGTGGAAGCTGTTAAATTATTGACAAAACATTTTTACCTGTGAAAACCCGGCTAGATAGACTGAATTGTTATTTCCTGTAACTTCATTGTTCAATCTTACATCGCGATCATGTTAGCAGTTTTTTTTTTTTTTCCCCCTTCTAGACGGCTGGTTGTAAATGTATCTGCCCCGCCAAACTCATTTTCAGTCAACATCTGAGGTGATAGCAATCGCAGGGCAATTAATTTCTGTAAGTGGGCTCCTGTGCACCTGTGTCAATCTTATTCAGCCGTGTTGATATTTTTGTGGCAACTTTCTGTTGTTAATTTTCTGGGTTTGACATGGAAAAATGACATCACGTTCACATTCTGCTTTGTCGGTTTGGATGCTAAAATCACTCACCACATGATGCACAGAGTGGCAAGAAAGGCTCTAATTGGCATATCTTTTCCCAACCAGGCAAACAACTGTCACCTATCGACCCTGTCTCCTCAAAAAATACATTACAAAACAACTACATTGTGTTCTCAATTACATTTTGGGGGACACTTATTTTCTTCTGCATTTCTTTGTGACATTAACAATACATTGCGAATCAACATATCTTTACCATTTATTTTATCGCTTTCCAGTCAGATTTTTTAATAGCTTCTTTGCAGCTCCTTTTCAGTTATATCATTATGTTAGATGGCTTGAAACTAGTAACCCAGAAAATGGAGGAGAAGTTTAAAAAGTTGAGTATCAAGAGGTATTTTGCTAAACCTAACTGAGCAGTTTTGGTACCTAAACCTCACCAAACAGCAAGAGAAAACAAAGAGACAAATAATATTCCCACACAGCACACAAGCTGCAGTCTTCTGGCTGAAAGGTCTGTTGCATTTC